TTTGTATTTCTTAAGATCAAAAGTTGTGATACGAATGGAGCATTTAGATGGCAGTCTACCCGATTTGACATCAGAGCAAATTATAAAAATATTAGAAATATATAAAGGTTTTCCTCATCTATGGGATACCTATCTGATTGAACATATATGTTTAAATAAACGTAATGATGCTCTTGAGGAGATGTCAAGAGCTTTGGAAATCAATATGAATCTCAAAATTGATGTAAGTGTATTGGAGAAATATATACATACTATTCATGAGTATTGTTCAAGGGAAAAAAGAAGACGATTAGGCATAGCCACCCCAGAAGATTTGCAAAACAATACGAAAAATAGTTCGCCCAACTATTTCGAGAACATGGCTTTTTTGGAAGATCACGAAGGACCTTTTAGTTGTCCAGAATGTAATGGCATTTATAACAAACCTTTGTGTTTTAGAATTCATAAAGCCCAACATGATGGTTCACCAGCCCTTAAATGCTCCCAATGCGAGCAAGCATTTAAAACTGTGGCTTCTTTCACCACACATGCCAAACGCCACTTAGAGGATCTTCAATTTATTTGCAAAGTGTGTGGTACAAAGTTTCTTAGGCATTGCGATCTAAAAATACACTTGTTAACACATACCGACGCCAGGCCATATTGCTGTGAGATCTGCGGGGCATCTTATCGTCAGTCGAATAGTTTCCGAAAACACCAAAGACAACATGAAAAACGTTTCTCTCATACATGTCATATTTGTTCTAAAGGATATTACACAAAATATCGTTATGTCGATCATATGAACTCGCACATGAACATACGTCAACATGTCTGTAACATATGTGGCAAAGGATTTATAACGAGCAGAGCATTAAAGACACACGCAGTCACACATGAAGATGCAAGAAATCATGCATGTAAACTTTGTGGTAAAACATTTAAGCTAAAAATTGGTGTATTACAGCATATGCGAACACATGGAAGCAAAGTGGAAACGGAGAAAAGTAATTTACTCTTATAAACATTTTATGAATATTTTATTTTAAATATACGCAATAGTTTTATTTTTTAAGAGACAAAAATAGATTTCTTATTTTTAAAATTTTTTCAAGTGGTCAAATTTCAGGCGTAAATCTTAAATGCTTTTATTATTCCTTTACTTTTATTATTTTAAATACTTTTATTATTTCGAATAATGAAACAGTGGGTAGAACCACGAAGATCCTATGGGGTGACCCTGATGAGAGCAAGACGAAAAATCTCCTCAAAATGAGCAAGTCTGAAGTTAGTATGATGGTACGTATTCTGAGTGGACACACAGGACTACGAGCACATCTATGCAAAATTGGACGTGCGGATTCAGACGAATGTAGAGCATGTGGAGAGGACAGTGAAACTCTGGAGCACTTTCTTTGCCACTGCCAGGCATTCGTCGAAGTTAGATCCAAGTATCTTGGAAGTGAGGTTATTCCGGAAATAACATTCCTGACTAACACTGATTGGAAGATTCTTAGGAATTACGTTTAGGAAACTGAGTTTCTGAACACTGAAAAATAATTCTTTCAGTTTTTTTTTTCATGATAAAGAGCGCACAACAGGCCCGATAGTGGCCTAGGTGTATTTCTTCGGATTTGATGTAGTATACATCCTCCTATCGACCTACCTGCCTATTATTTCGAATAAGAGTTTGTACAATTTTTCCGCACCTGTCTAGTTTAAAAGTCTTTATTTTGTATACATATGAATGTATGTATATAAGAAAAATTTTCCGAATCGGCCCATAACTAGTCATAACTCCATAAAAGATACACTTTCAAAAATCACTTCAATGAACATAATTTAGTTCTGCACCATTGTCATGAAAACCATATTAGTTTTCTTTATGAAGATCAAGCTTACATCTGAATTAAAGGCCTGCACGAGACAACAATAATGCGGCAATTTGCTAAAAAAAAATCGTGTTCTTATGATGGCGCACACGACATTTTTTCAACAAATTGTCGCATTATTGTTGTCTTGTTCAGGCCTTTAATCTGAGTTAAAATATCGTGTGCACCATCATAAGCACATGACATTTTTTAACAAATTGTCTTATTGTTGTCTTGTGCAGGTCTTTAATCTGAATATTAGACACAGACAAATAATAGTATAAAAATATATAATAGCTTAATCTTTTTTACTTGTATATCGGCATCAACTGCATTATATACATAAGCATATTTAAAATGTTAGAAATTTTCTTAAAAAGTGTCTATCTATGGTAATTTAAGTAGGAATTTAAATATAAAAAAGATCTAAAAAGCCGTATTTAGTACATATTATTCCTATTTATAGAAATGTTTTTTTATATTTAAAAGTTGTATGTATGCATTTAGTAATCCGTCGTAATGTTTTTTTTATAAAAGTCGGTTATTAGAAGTCAATTTATTCCTCCCTCCCTAATTTAACCCTAGTTTGAGTACCAAATTTTAATTATATGTATACATATGCGAACATAGCAAGTCCTGCTAACATTTCTCTGAGAATGATTTAATCAAAGAAGAAAATCTAAACAAAGTATTTTTTCACTGAACAGCCTTTACATTTTTGTATATGTTTACATTTCTTATTTTATGTATTTACATTACATTGATTTTGGCTTAGGAGCAGACATTTAGGAATTATTATCAATAAAATGGCAACAGAAATGCTAAACATTCAGGATTACTCTAACTACATAAAGTGTGGCGAAATCTTAAAGTCACCATTACCAAATTATCAATATCCATTTATTTTAAAATGTTGGCAATGTGACAAAATTAATTTCATTTTGGAATCTTTTATAATACACATACAAGAACATTGTGCGAATGGAAAAAGGTTAAAAGAAAGCATTGATATGAATGTTATAAATGAAAATGAAGAAGGTGAAAATCCTATTGTAAAAATAGAGACTATTCTTATGGAGGAGGTAAGTAACAGACAACAAAGAAGGTGGGGTGTTTATCATAATAGTAAACAACGAGCTGATAAATAACTCCAAAAATTATATACGGCAGCTAAATTTTCGTTAACATAACATTCCCTATAGGTATAATGTTTAAACAGTATACATACATTATAAATCGTTTCAGGACGACCCTCTGGTTGAAATTAAAGATGAACTTGTTGATGACGATCCACAGGAAGGTGGTGATACACATAGCAACTCATTAGAAGATAAGGAAGACGATGGAAATTATTCGGAGAGCACAGATGAAGAATTTCACACAGATGAAGCCCAAACAGAAGATGAAGAGGTAGATTACACGCACATGATTTATACTTTAAAATTTCAAATTAATTTGTTGTATTTGTTTTTAGATTCTAACTATTAAAACTAAAAAGAAGAAAACTACACTATCTCCAATTATTGAAAAATTTATAAAATCCAAACCAAAAATGCAGACATTAATAGAACTTTATAAAAATCAACCAAACTTGTGGAATAAGGACTTGCCATTTTATCGTTTTAGAGATAAAAGGCAGTCATTTCTTGAAGAAATTACTAATGAATTAAATAGTAAACTACATACAAAATACACGTGGAGTGATGTATCAAAATTTGTTTCCTACATTTATCGTAAACACCGGGAAGACTTTAGAAGACTTCGACTTTTTGGAGACGACGATAAAACATTAAAAAATATAAAACATAAATGTAGTTGGTTTTTTCCTGATTTATATTTTTTGAGGTCCAAGTCAGAAATACAACTAAAGAAATTGGATACAAATTTACCAGATTTAACTGAAGAGCAAGTTATTAAAATTATACAAATATATAAAGAATTTCCACATCTGTGGAATACAAATTTAATAGAATATATATGCACAAATAAAAGACATGAAGCTCAACGTGCAATGTTAAAGAGTTTAGAGACAAATATAAACATAAATATAAGTGTAACAGTTTTGGAAGAATATTTACGCTCTTTACATAATTACTTTTCTAAGGAAAAACAGCTTCGAAAGAAAAGTACTGGTACTAAAGCGGAAAATCTTGCAGAAGACTATTATCAACACTTACTATATTTATATGACCACGAAGGACCATTTAATTGCGTTGAATGTAATCGGTTGTATTCAAAACCGTTAGGTTTTAAACTTCATAAATCTACACACGATAATTCTATACCATTCACGTGTTCTCTGTGCACTAAAGAGTTTAAAACTATTCAAACATATAAAGTGCATGCAAAACGTCATTTCGAGGATCTTGAATTTGCCTGTACAGAATGCAATCGCAAATTTCTTGCTTACGCAGATCTCAAGGTGCATTTGTTAACACACACCGGAGATAAGCCATACTTTTGTGAAATATGTGGCACTTCCTATCGCCATATTCAATGTTTTAAAAGACATCAAAGACGCCATGACAAACGGTACACTCACATATGTGATATTTGTTCCAAAGGTTATTACACTAAAGATCGTTATGTTGATCATATGAACTCGCACATGAATATTCGTCCACACATTTGTCAATTGTGTGGTAAGGGATTTTTTACAAGTCGAGCATTAAAGACGCACTCAGTCACTCATGAGGAAGCGAGAAATCATGCATGTAAATTATGTGGAAAAACGTTTAAACTGAAAATTGGTGTATTACAACATATGCGAACTCATGGTAGCAAATTTGAAATTGAGGAGAAAAATTGAATAAAATAAAGTGTTAACAAATTTTGAACATATTCTTTTCTTGTTTTTAATTCTATAAATTTCAATGGCTGGTCTAAATTGCTTTATTTACTGTTAGATTAAAGTAAAATAGTTTAAATCTCTAATAAATTTCATATTGATAAAATGTAGTACTATGTATGTACTTTCACATTTATAAAATTTAATAAATGTTATAGCTTATCATTGATTCGGTGTAAGCCCAATTATTAAAAAATGTATTTTTAGTCTACGGATATTCGGCTAATATTCCTATGTGAATGATATAAATAAAGAAGAAAATCTAAACAACTTAAGTTTTCACTGAACAAGCCCAACTTTTTTATATACATACATACATATGTTTGAATAAAAATTTTTTGTTTGTATTAACTGCACGCAAAAACTAAAATTTATCGTAAAAAATGGCAACAAAAATGCTAAATATTCAGGATTATACTAACTATATAAAATGTGGGGAAATCTTAAGATCACCATTACCAAGTTATCAAAATCCATTTATTTTAAAATGTTATCAGTGTGATAAAATCAATTTCATTTTGGAATCATTTATAATACACATACAAGAACACTGCAATGTTGGAGAAGATTCAAAGGAAAGTGTTGATATTAAAATTCTAAATGATGATGAAGGGGAAAGTGAACCAATAGAAAATCCTGTAGTGAAACTAGAGACAATTCTTATGGAGGAGGTAAGTAAGAGGAGGTTGGGTGTGTGCAGACATTTTTATGTATGCAATCCAAGAATGCAATGTAAAACTATAGCAGTCAATTGCATCTCTAAAGCAGCTAAAATGGAAAATGATTTTCAAAGGCTTTACCGCCGGCAATAAATTTAGCATATATTTCTCTCTAAGAAAAGATCTGCATATGTACGCCCATGGTGTGTACATATATTTTTTTCCTTTAAAAATACTGTACAGAAGAAGGGAGCAATATTTAATTGTAAGCTATATTTTTCCTTCATTGTAGGATGACCCTCTAGTTGGTATTAAAGATGAAGTTTCTGAAGAAAATCCTCACGATGATGGTGAAGCTCATAGTAATAACATGGATGATAACGAAGACTTTGAGGATTATTCTACAAATACAGACGTTGAGTTTCAAACAGATGATACCGAAACGGAAGATGAAGAGGTAAATTTCTAATGGTTTATAAAATATACAAAAAAGTATGATTAAATTAATAATTCACATTAAATTGTATTGTTTTTTGAAGTCCTTTTTTATAAAATTTAAAAAATTACATATTTGTAAAATGAAAATATTAATCTTAAAATTGAACTTTTTATCTTCTATTTCTGTTTTTTATATATTGTAGTTAGCTACAAAAACCACAAAAAAGAAAAAGAAAAAGAGTGCATTGCCGCCGGCTGTTGAGAAATTCATAAATTGCAAACCAAAAATGCTAACATTAATAGAACTTTATAAAAATCAACCAAACTTATGGAATAAGGACCTACCTTTTTATCGTTTTAGAGATAAAAGACAGTCTTTTCTTGAAGAAACTACAAAAGATTTAAACAAACAATTGAATACAGAATATACATGGAATGAAGTATCGAAAATTATAACTTATATTTATGGGAAACATCGTGATGATTTCAAAAGGCTTCAACTTTATCAGGAAGATGATAAAACTCCAAAAGATGTTAAATACAAATGTGCTTGGTTCTTTGACGATTTACATTTCTTAAGACCCAAAAAGGAAATGCAACTACAAAAATTGGATACAAATTTGCCAGATTTAACTAAAGAGCAAATTATTAAAATAATCGAAATATATAGAGAATTTCCAAAACTTTGGAATACAAATCTAGTAGAATTCATATGTACAAATAAACGCCACGAAGCTCACGGTGAAATGGTAAAAAGTTTAGAAGAAAATATGAGTCTTGATATAAGCGTAACGGTTTTAGAAGAATATTTACGCACCATACATTATTACTTTTCGAAAGAAAAAGGTAATCGAATGAAAAATAAGGAAAGTAAATCAAAAAAACTTGTAGAAGACTATTATGAACATATGTTGTATTTGTACGACCATGAGGGACCATTTCATTGTGCCGACTGTAATAAGATGTTTTCAAAACCGTTAGCATTTAAAGCTCACAGATCCACTCATGATGATACTGTACCATTTACATGTTCTCTATGCAATAAAGAGTACAAAACACCTCAATCTTATACAGTTCATGCAAAACGTCACTTTGAGGATCTTGAATTTACATGCACAGAATGCAATAGAAAATTTGTGGCTTACGCAGATCTCCGAGTACATATATTAACACACTCTACTGATAGACCATATTTTTGTGAAGTATGTGGCACTTCTTATCGCCATATTCAATGTTTTAAAAGACATCAGAGACGTCATGATAAACGTTACACCCACAAATGTCATCTTTGCTCTAAAGGATATTATTCCAAAGATCGTTATGATGACCATATGAATTCACACATGAATATACGCTCGCATATTTGTCAGTTGTGTGGCAAGGGCTTTATCACGAGCAGAGCATTAAAGACACACGCAGTCACTCATGAAGATGCCAGAAATCATGCGTGTAAATTGTGCGGGAAAACATTTAAGCTTAAAATTGGTGTATTACAACATATGCGAACTCATGGTAGTAGATTTGAAATCGAAGATAAACATTAAATAAGAAAAACATTAATTTTCACTACTATTAATACTAACGTTTATTTATATAGATTATGCAATAAAAATTACATTTATAAATTATCGATCTAGGTATTATAAATTATTTTAGTTTATAGATATTAGGTTAAATTAACCTAACCTTAAACCCAAGGTGCTATAATGTTGTAACCAGTGTTAAGATATCGACAAATCACTCTTATAAATATGAGAGCTATGACCAATTATGACCGATTTATCGAATATTATCCCAATATCATTATTAATTCTAGCTAGGTATGATAAAGTGATTTTCATAAGAAGGCCTTAAAGGAGCTATGACTTATTATGAACCAAACGGAAAATGGAAGCTATGGCCAATTATATTCCGATCCGAATGATTAGTATCATATTCAAGTTGAATTTTATTCCGATATTATTATTTTATAAGTTATTTACAATTAAGTGAATGTTTTTGCGTTCAGGTTGTTGTGAAGTTAGATTTATATATGCAAAATTTTGTAGTAATACCATTATTCTATATGGAGTTATTAACAATAAATATATTTCCCGGAAATGCGTATATTTATATGGGGGCTATATGAAATATTTAACCGATTCTAATACTTTTTAAGAGAATTAATACTTGGATGAAAAAACTAGATCTGTGGCAAAATTTGTTGAATTAGCTGCTATAGTTTCTAAATAAAACTAATCAAGAACGACAAAAACATAATATTTTTATAGGTCATTTCGGAATTTTACTTATTACCTGTTATTTATGGACCGATTCTCGAAAGCATGTCTGATAGAATTAGAATTTTGATTGAATATTACTTCAAACATACGTACGACCCTATCTAACATTTAAAAAATTTTACAGGAAAAGCAAAAAGCTATTTAAGTTGAAATGAAATGACAGAACCGACGGATCAAGGGGAGGAGGAGTTGCTCTCATTATCCATAAACATATTAACCACAAAAATATTTCTGTGGATAAAACTAAATCAATAGAAAATATTTCAGTTGAAATATTGATAAATAACAGACCTATGAAAATAATAGCAGCATATTCAGCCCATTATAACCATAATTTTAAACATGATATCCTTAAATTAACTTCGCCAAGCAAAGATTACATACTACTTGGAGATTTAAACGCCAAGCATACCTCGTGGAACTGTATAAGAAATAACACCGCTGGTAACGTGCTCAGTCAATTACAACATACATGCAACTTCTTCGTTTATTATCCAAATGATCCAACCTACTACCCTCATCAACACGGACGTGCTCCGTCTACAATAGATTTAGTCTTAAGCAACACCACATTAAATTTGAACCTAGAAGTACTAGAATATGAGATTCCATCAGACCATCGCCCGATTGTCTGCTCTATTAGTTTAACAACTGTAAATACGGTAGATTTAAGCTATTATAACTATAAATTAACCAATTGGAATTCCTTTCAAAACTATATAGATAACAAAATAGTTTCTAACACTAATATATATAATACTAAAACAATTATCGATAATGAATTAAGTACTTTAAGCAAGATCATTCTGGAAGCTAGAGACATATCTACTCCTAAATTATATCCTTCAGACAAAGTTACATTACCTGATAAAGTGATTAAATATATAAAAGTAAGAAGAACATTTAATAGGAAATTTCATAGATCGACTAACTTATTTGAAGCTAATTTCTACAAACAATATTCAAGGTTTCTGAGCAAGTTAATTGATGAGAATATTAATACTGAAAGAAATAGGAAATGGTCAGCACTTTTATCCAAATTGAAGCCAGGTGACAAATCATTTTGGAGAATAAGTAGAAACCTACGAGCTAAAGGTCAGACAAAAATCCCCCATTTGAATGTAGGAATTACTAAAATTATTTCTGACAGCGGGAAGGCTGAAGTTCTCGCCAATAGATTTGTTCAGGCTAATAACCTCACAGCACATTTCAGTCATTCCTTTGACAAGAAGGTTGATTCTTTAGTAGACAACTTTCGAAATCAATACACAGTTTTTGATGATTGCAGATATACATCACTCTGTGAAATGATTAACTTAATTTCATCACTCAAATCATCTAAATCCCCCGGATTTGACAACATATCGAATCTTCTATTGAAAAAACTTCCCTTAAATGCTATAAAACTACTGGTTACAATATTTAATGGTTGTATTAAACTTAATTATTTTCCCAGTATATTTAAAACAGCAAAGATAATTCCCATTCATAAACCCAACAAACCAAAAAATGATCCTGGCAGCTATAGACCAATTAGTTTGCTGAGCAATTTAGGTAAGCTTTTAGAGAAAATTGTACATTCCCGACTTAATCAATTCATTGAGGAAAATTCTATTCTTTCCAAATCACAATTCGGTTTTAGGAAAGAGCACAGTACAACACACCAGATAAACAGAATTAAAAATAAAATTATTAACAACATTACCACCAAACAGCTTACTATGCAGATGATACTGCTTTGATCTCATCGAGCAAACTTACCAGCGCATTGCTTAGGAAAATGGAAAAGGGACTCTCAGCTTGCACTAAATATTTCCATAAATGGAGAATTAAAATAAACCCAAATAAAACTCAAGCTATAATATTTCCATATAACAAATCTCCTAAAAGAATCCCAAGAAGACAAATATCCATAGGGAATGAGCACATCCCTATAGATAATTGCGTTAAATATCTAGGTGTGATCTTAGATAAAAAGTTAATTTTTAGAGAACACATTGAACAGGCGTGTCAAAAAGCTATCAAAGCTATAAGATCGTTATGGCCCCTTCTGAATAAACACTCTTATTTGAATGCCAAAAATAAAAATCTACTTTATAAAAGTATTATAAGACCTATTTTAACTTATGCTAGCCCTGTTTGGTATACGGCTGCAAATTATCATCTAAAACGATTGCAAATTATTCAAAATAAATGTTTAAAAATAATAAATAACAAAAACTGGAAATATCCAACTAACATTCTACATCAGTACCGCAATTCAGTAACTTTTTAACGACAAAATTTTGTCGTTAAATAGTCAAAATTCGTTAGTTAACGATAATTCTAGTTAAGTGCTATTCTGTAGTAAAATATTTTCGATTTTTGTCGGTAATCATTGTCGGTAGTTAACGAAAACCTTCGATAAGCTAACGACTAACAAATAGTTCTTGTTAAAACATAACGATATTTATAATGTTGTTAATTCTATAGATAAATTTAACAAAAAAGGTAACTTTCAATAAAATATAAAACTTTTTATCAATTGCTAACATTGTTTTATTGATCAAATAGAAGAATAATTTAAATAAATTATTTAATATTACAAAATTGCACAAAAATGGCATTTGAATATATTGGTATGTATTTGGAAGATCATTTTCAACATCATATTCGGACTCAAGAACGAAGAATACTTCGAAATATGGAAAATCCATTTGATTTGAGTGATCGCGAATTTGTATTGCTCTATAGGATAGATAAAAGTAAAATGCATGACATTATTGATTCAATACAACACAGATTCACTTGTAATAGGATTACTGGAATTTCCCCGGAAAAACAGGTAGACAATTCATCTTTAAAATTACCAATAAGTAAATAAGACAGCTTTTTAAGATTCTTTCTGCAATTCGCTTTTATGCAACGGGATGTTTTCAAAGGCCTGTGGGTGAACAGTGGGGCATTTCTATAAGCCAACCCTCAGTTAGTCGTTCTTTACATAGAGTTACTGATGCAATCAATGATGTGTTATTGAAGCAATGGGTCAAGTTCCCGATAACAACGTATGAAAGGAACAGTGTTAAAGAACAATTTCGAAACAGTTCATATCCCTTTGACGGCTGTATTGGTGCTATTGATTGTTCTCACGTTGCTATTCTTGCTCCTCCAAACAACGAAGGAGCTTACGTTAACCACCATGGTTACCATTCTTTAAATGTGCAAATGGTATAATATGAATGGAAATTGGTATTTTACAGACTTAAAATATAAATTATGCATTACTTTTAGATTTGTGATCCATACTTAAAAATATTAAATGTGAATGCACAGTACTCAGGCTCCAGACATGATGCATATATATGGAGCTCAAGTCCTGTACGAACTTTACTGGAAAGGACATTCAATAGTGGAGAGTAAAGAACGTTTTTAATAGGTCAATTATATGATAATATTTATGTATATACAAATACGTATAAACATAAAGGAACTATCTATAATTACATACTTCAGGTGATATGGGATATCCTTTAGAGCCTTGGCTTATGACTCCTTTGCCAGAGGAAACTCCCGGTACACCAAGATTTAGATATAATGAAGCGCTTTGTAAAACTCGTAACTGCATCGAAAGGGCTTTTGGTGTTATAAAAGCAACATGGAGATGTCTTTCAAGGCACAGAACTCTACAATACAAACCTGCTTTTGCCGGGAAAATAGTAAATGCTTGTACAGTACTGCATAACATTAAACGTCAGAATAACAACTTCTCATCTAATGAGTTTAATGATGAAGTACATTTTCAAAGTCAAGACGAATCCCTAGAACAAAACCAATCACTACTTTCAGTAGCAAGACGCATTCAAAACCAAATTATTGAACAATACTTTAGTTAATTATTTAATAAATAGCTACTAAATAAATTATTCATAAACATTTTTAATAAAAATTAAGATTTTATTTTAAATTTAAACAATAAAAAAGGCAAAATAAAAACAATAAATACAATTAAGGTTTAAAAACAAAGTTATTTAATTTGACGCTTTCTTCTATATTTGAAAGTACAATTTTCATTCTCTTATAAGAGGCCAAAATCTCGTTTAGAACGACGAAACTATCCGATATTTTATTTAAAGCTTTTGCCGTTTCTTTTTGCGCATTTGCTAAATTCTGAAAATGATAAAAAAGTTATAAATTATTTATGTATATTAACAAGTAAGTTTAATCAGTCAAGTCCAACTATATGTACCCTACATCTTCAGTAGACCTAATATATAATCAGACACTGTAGACACTCACCATCATTGCATCAGCCTGAGTTTTTGCAATTTGTAAAAACTCTTCTTTAATAGAACACTCCCTTTTTTGGCGCTTTTTTGGTATTTCACTTTTATTTCCGTTTCCGCAGTTCGATGTAGTGGGAACTTCTGAAATACTTGCTTCACATTCAAATTCTACTGTTTCTGTAAAATTTTCCTCTTGTCCAGTGATCGTGATTTCTTCATTTAACTGTTGTATATATTGTAGAACGCAATATAAGTGTATATTAATTTAAATCGTATTCATAATTAACTTACCACAGTGGTATCAAAACTGTCTGGAACACTTTCATTCCCCATCATGTATTCCCAACCGACAATCCCTACTATTCTCTCTTCCAAGGGTGAAAGGAAATCTTCTGATAGGGGTTTATTTCCAGTCTTTGCTCTCTCTCTTTTTAAAATTTTAAATTTTGAGGAAGCTTTTGATTTCATGTCCCTCCAAACCTAGAATTTAAATAACAAATAAATAATTTGTAAAGTTATGGTAAAAATACTTACAATTTGCCATTGGTCAGCACTTTTAAATGCACCTGGAATTTTGTTTATTTCATTGGCCAAATCTTCCCATTTCTTCCTTGCCATTTCCTTACCATGCAAGGCAGCAAATTTGCCTTCAGCCAAACCTTTTTCATTTTCCAGGAAAGAAAGAAGTGCGGCATGTTGTGCTGCTGTGGCTCGAGGGCCTCGTGTTTTCTTCCTAAGGAAAAATTATTAAATTACACAAAATTTTCGCTTATAATTTAATACTTACTCTTTTTTTTCCATTTTTATGCATAAACTTTTTTTAATAATTTTATTTATTTTTTATACAACTTTGACATTCTCACATTTGTACCGATATTTATCGTTAAAATATTCTAACGATAATATTCGTTAACTTAAATTAGAGAATAGAACATTCGTTAATGCAACCGATATTTTTCGTTACTTTACGATATCGGTAGTTAAAATTAAAAAATTACAGAATTGCTGTACAGGAAACTAAATATGAAAAAATATTTGATTTTATAACAAGACTAAATAATAAATATTTCGAAAAAGTTGAAAATTCCTCGTATCCACTGATTCGAGAATGTAGGCCACTTATTTGAATTAATATTGAATCATCAAACTGAAAATCGTAATTTTATGAAAGACTATTTTTAAAAATAGCCTATTCATAAAACTACATATTTTCTGTACATGTTTGACTTTCTTTTCCATTCAAATAAAGGTTTTCTCCCTGTTTTTGCCTTTAAATGTATCAAATATCCAAAAATTATTTATTTATTATAATTCCATTATGTTATTTGCTGTAATATCTAATTGATAAAATCTCAAAATTTTGTATATATTGTAAATAAACCAATTAATAAAGGATGAATAAAAAATCAAAAAAAAAAAAAAAAAATTTAAGTTGAAAAGTTTGTTTCTATCAGCGCGATTTATTTTTATTCAATAAACAAATTGTTTAATTGTGAAACCTAACATTTGTTATGATAGTATATAAAAATGGATAAATCGCATTTTTACCATATACCTATAGGTATTTTAATGTTTTTGTAGATAGGCTCTTTTGTTTTTTTTCGAGGAGTCCAATTTTTGGCGTGAACATTTGTTTTGATACAATACATTAGAATCAACAACAATTTTGAATTTTTGGTTAGTTAAGGTCGTTTGCGTTTCAGGTGACAATAGCGGATCTTATTATTATCGATTCAGAGTTTGGTCTGTTAAACATTTTGCTGTAAATGGCAACGCTTAAATATATACATACATATGTACATATATATGGTATTCATTAAGGTGGTTTTCAACTGCCAATGTTTGTTTTTGTCCACATTTTATATATTCTCTATTTAGACGTTGGTGAAAAGCTATCTCATTTGATTCATAAATATTTATGCAAAAAACATAACATCAATTTGAATGACTGACGTTTGCAAGATATCCTGTACAAAACTATCAGTTTCCTGACCGGTAAATGATCAACTCAACATCATTTATTTTTAATCCCTTAAAATCAAAACTCAAAATTTATATTCTTTAAAAATTTGAATTTTTTTCGAAAACAAAATCAAACAAAAAATTTTGAGCCGCTGCTAATATTTTGTCTTTGCGCCGACAACTTTTTTCCATCAACTTCTTTCTCTTATATGTTTGTGTGTATCTAGTCAATTTTTTGTTTTCATTTTTTTCTAAATGTTATTAACAGTATAAAGATATAATAAAAATATTCTTAGAAAATGGCAACAAAAGTTTTAAATATTCAGGATTTTGCTGGCTATATAAAATGTGGAGAGATTCTTAAATCCCCTTTACCAAATAAACAATATCCATTTGTTCTAAAATGTTATCAATGTGATAAAATCAATTTCATTTTGGAGTCATTCATAATACATGTCCAAGAGCATTGTAAAGGTGTTACAGCATTATGTGAAAAGGTTGAAATTAAAGTTGCCACCGATGAAGAGGAAGCGGATGAGGAGGGTCATTTTGATAATCCTTTAATAAAAGTTGAGACCATAATTATGGAAGTGGTAAGTTAATGAATAAACACTTCTGTTTATTTACATATGTTTGTGTGTATATGATTTGTTAAATAATTTTAATGGGGAAATTAAGCATTTGGTTTTACTATTAACAACCGGCTTCGATAAAATTTAGTTCATTCTAAAATACCTACTTAAAAAATAATGCTACTAATCTGATTGAAAGAAAAATTCTATTAATAATTCAGGATGACCCTCTAGTTGGCATTAAAGATGAAGTTAATGAAGACAGTTCCCACGATGGTGGAAAATATAACAGCAATAACATAGAGGACGATGAAGACTTTGAAGATAATTCATGTGACTCAGATGAAGACTTCCAAACAGAGGATTCTGAAACCGATGATGAAGAAGTAAGTTCAACTAACTGTATACTTTACATCTTCAGTTTATGAATTAAAAATTAACTTTTATATTTTTTATTACAGATAACAAGAACTAAATCAACTAAAACATCAACTAATAAGAAAAGAAAAAGTGTAATGCTACCTTCGGTTCAGCAATTTATTAAATCCAAACCAAATATGAAAATTTTGATTGAACTCTATAAAAATAAACCAAACCTGTGGAACAAAGATTTACCATTTTATCGTCTCAAAGACAAAAGACAGGCAACTCTAGAAGAAATTACTAAAGAATTGAATAATAAACTAAATATGACATTATCATGGAAGGAGGTGTCCGATATTATCGCTTACATTTATCTAAAACACCGAACAGATTTCAAAAGGCTACGTCGTTACGAAGAAGAAGAAAGTCATTCAAAAGCCAAGAACTATGCACGTTCTTGGTTTTTTGATGATTTATATTTCTTAAGACCTCAACAAGAAATAAAACTACAGAAATTAGATGCCGACTTACCCGATTTAACAAATGAACAAGTAATTCAAATTATACAAATATACAGAGAATTTCCACATCTTTGGAACTCAAATCTAATTGAATTTATATGTTCAAATAAAAGACATGCAGCTCATATCGAAATGTTGAAGAGTTTAGAAATGAATATGAATATTAAAATTAGTATTACTGTGTTGGAAGAATATCTTCGTAACATACATCATTATTTTTCGAAAGAAAAACGCCTTAGAAAAAAGAATGCAAAAACAAAAAAACACACAGAAGAGTTCTATGAGCAGCTGCAGTTTTTGTATGATCATGAAGGGCCATTCAACTGCACTCAATGTAAACGGGTTTTAACGAAACCTTTATTGTTTAAATTCCATAAAGCTACCCATGACGAAACGGCCCAATTAACTTGTTCTCAGTGCAATAAAGAGTTTAAAACAATTCAATCGTATACCGTTCATGCTAAACGACATTTTGAGGATCTGGAATTTGCTTGCAGTATATGCGATAAGAAATTCGTCGCATATGGAGTTCTTAGATTACACATGTTAACACACACTGGCGATAGGCCATATTGTTGTGAAATATGTGGTGCCTCATATCGCCAAGTACAATGTTTAAATAGACACAGAAGACGTCATTTAAAGCGATATTCTCATATATGTAGTATTTGCTCTAAAGGATATTATTCCAAAAAAACATATGAAGATCATATGAATTCGCATATGAACATAAGACAGCACATTTGCCAATTGTGTGGTAAGGGATTTATTACTAGCAAAGCATTAAAGACCCACGCAGTCACTCATGAGGATGCAAGAAATCATGCATGTAAATTGTGCGGGAAAACATTTAAGCTAAAAATTGGTGTATTACAACATATGCGAACGCATGGCAGCAGAATTGAAGTCGAAGATAAAAATTAAAATAAAAATAAATAATTTAAAGCATAGTAGATTTAAAGTAAAATTATAAAACAGTAGTTTTCATTCATAATGTAAATGTTTAGCCAGTAATAGAAATATTATTTTGTGGAAAGCTAGCTTCACAAAGTGCAAATGATTGTAAATCCTAAATGAGTGTCACATTATAATAAACAATTTCTATGAAGGAGGGTCCCATTTGTTCGACAACGGAGTCAATACATCCGAATGTTGCATCATAAATGTGATAGGTAGATAGATAGATAAATATAAAGATAGATAGATAGATGTAAATCCTAAATGAGGGTCACATTATAATAAACAATTTCTATGATGGAGGGTCCCATCTGTTCGACAACGGATTCAATACATCCGAATGTTGCATCATAAATGTGATAGGTAGATAGATAGATAGATAGATAGATAGATAGATAGATAGATAGATAGATAGATAGATAGATAGATAGATAGATAGATAGATAGATATAAAGATAGATAGATAGATAGATAGATAGATAGATAGATAGATAGATAGATAGATAGATAGATAGATAGATAGATAGATAGATAGATAGATAGATAGATAGATAGATAGATAGATAGATAGAAAGATAGATAGATAGATAGATAGATAGATAGATAGAAAGATAGATAGATAGATAGATAGATAGATAGATAGATAGATAGATAGATAGATAGATAGATAGATAGATATCGTTTTTACCAAAATAATATCGACCGATCTATAGTTTACATTATGATATTTAAAGCCACAATTATCTTTATCCCAATAATATATTAACCAAAATAACACATTTTACAAATATTAAAATTATTAACAAATATCATCAAAAATCGATTCATTCGATATTGTATCATGTGATTTGATGTGATTACTTAAACGTCCACGTTGGGAATATTCCTTATCACAAATTTTGCAAGAATATTTTTTCTTTTCCGCATGAGTTAATTGATGCTGTTTCAAATATTTCGAACAGGTAAAAGATTTGCCACAATCATCGCATATCTTATCACGTATATTCATGTGCGATTTCATATGTTGATTTAATTTATTCCGTTCATAAAACCCCTTCGAACAAAACGAACATTTATGCTTCGGATTCTTTTCGTGGCGCCTTCGATGAGAATCAAAATAAGACCATGTACGAAATGATTGTCCACAAATATCACAAAAATATGGCTTTTCGCCTGTGTGATGACGTGTATGAACATTTAAATCCGTTGATGTGGAAAACTTGTTTGAAAAATAAAAAAAATATAAATTTAAATATCAATTTCTAATAAAAATTGTTTATAAAAAGAATATAATGAAAATTTGGTTTATTCTGAGATAACATTTCTCAATTTATTTGTCCTGACGCCAATATTTGGTGAGCTAGATCAAAGGATAAAAAGGTCCTTTTAGAGGTTTTATGATTTAAAAAACTCTGTGAAAAACGCTTGTAGTAACAAACATTTATTAAAATTTTTTAATGTAAATAATTGAAACTATGCAATTTAGTTAAAATTTTATTTTAGTTTTTCAAAACTCATTTTCTACTAGATCTTGCGTTAGCTAATTAATTGATAAATACATAGTGTGTATTTAATTATACGCGTAATATCAAAAGCTTTTCATTCATTAAAATTTCACATAACATCAAAAATGCATAAAATGTACCTGAAAAAGGACCTTTTTATCCTTTGACGCAGCTCACCAAATATTGATCCAGGACAAAAACTTTCAGAAATGGTATCTTAGAATGAACCAAGCTTTCATTTTCGGTGGGTACATCAGTAGATTATTATTCAACATACTTACTTTCTTATTTCGTTTCCTTCCATCATTTATGTAGTCTTTAAGAAAACTCATCTTTTCATATAGCCATGATTTACTAGTAGGATTGGCCGAAAAGTCTTCACAATCCATGTCACTTTCATTACAGTTTTTATTGATTTCTTCAGAAACTTCTATAAATTGTTCATGTTCCTTACGAAATTGGCTTCTTAACTTGTTAACCTTTCCTTTTATTTGAATATATTTTAAATGTAAATGCATTTCTTTATTTACTAATTTTGTTATTTCCTTTAAGGCTTCCTGGCATTTTCTAATATTTGTTTGTTGATTTCGATTTGTCTGCCATAATACTGGATAATTTTTATAATACTTTATAATTGTTTCAGTTAGTCCAGTTTTATCATATGAAACATTTTGGCTATCATCGTTAATATCGTCATTAAAAGTAGATGACGATTGTGTTGAAATGGCATCATTTAATTCTAGATCTTCCCAATGTATTCCATGTTCGGAGGTCTTGAAAAAAGAGGAAATAATTTCTTTCATTTTATATTCTTTAAGTGTCAGGTTGATCGTAGTAAATTAAATTTTGTAATAAATTACTCATCTCCAATTTAAGGCTAATTGTTTTGAAATAATTGAAAAATTAACTTTGTGGCTCTTAGAGCGGGTTTTTGAGATGGTAATCATATGCCAATTAATAATCAGATTAGTTAATCTAAAAATAAATTTAATCTTATGTTAATCCCCTTTGATGTTTTTGAGTACAAGATTAAACTTCGCAGTGTTGCCATACAAAACAACAGAAAACTTCACTGTTTGTTATCAAAACAATGCATATTTTATAAAAAAGAAGAAGACAATTGTAAATTTAATATGAATATTAATGAAAACTTAAATTAAAAACAACAAAATGTATTTTGAAGTGTCCATAATTTATACTAATCAATAAATAGAACATTTTAATGTTTATATTTATAAAAATTTTATTAATTTTTTTGCATCAGCTGTTTACACTTTTGCATTTCCTGCTTAAGATTAAACCACCTCCATTGGGCGCTTAAACTTGCAAACAAAATTAACTAATTGAGTACTCAAAAACATCTTTCGAGGATTAATTTTAATTTAATCGCTAATCTTTCACCTAAAGATTGGTCCTAAGAGTAATTTAATGTTGATGGAAACAACTGCATTTATAAAAATTGTTAAGATGAAACATAAAAATAAATAGTTTTGGACAAAAAAAGTGGTCTCTTGAATCATAGTTAGATTTTAGTAATTCTCGGTCTTTTAAATTTCCCGGGAAACGGGATGAAAAAATTCATTTCCCGGAATTCTCGGGAATACCGGAAATTTATATAAAACTTAATTTATAACTATAATAACAACATTTTTAACAAAAACCGACAACTTTTTTTTATAAATTTAGCGATATCTAAACTATTTTCTCTAGCCGGACAAAAGTAATTTTTGAAATATTTCGAGAGCTATTTATACCCTACACCACTTTAGTGGGGAGGGTATATTGGATTTGTGCTGATGTTTGTAACATACAAAAATATTCGTCCTAGACCCACCTTAAAGTATACCAATCGGCTTAGAATCGTTTTCTGTGTCGATTAAGCTATGTCCGTCCGTCCGTCCGTCTGGCTGGCTGTCCATGTAAACCTTGTGCGCAAGGTACAGGTAGCAATTTTCAAGATAATTGGATGAAATTTGGCACGCACGTTTTATTTGGCCTAAGAACGTAGCCTATTGAAAATGGTTAAAATCGGTCCATTATTTCACCTAGCCCCCATACAACAGAACCTCCCGAAAAGGGCTTCTGAGCTCATAATTATGTTAAATATACAGATATATCGATAAAATACGGCACAACTAAGTTTTATAGAAGTCTTGATGACCCTGCCAAATTTCATAAAGATCGGGCCACATTTGACCCTAGCTCCCATACAAAGTCCCCTTCAGAAAATTACTTGAATGTCCCAAATTAGCTTATAAACACAAATATCGCGATGAAATTCAGTAAAATAAAATATTATGTCAATATAAATATATTCACAAAATTTTATCGGGCTTGGTCCATATTTGCCCCTAGCCCCCATATAAAGCCTCCACGCCCGACTATAATTTCTTACTTGTTTTTGTATGGTAATATGTTGTCAAGTGTCCATAGCTCATATCGCTAATTTTTGTTTTCTTGGAATAGCTACACAAGCATTGCAACATAGCTTCAAATTCCAAAAATATATTTTTTGCTAAAGTATGAATATTTCAGTAGACATTTAATAGAGCAAGTAAATTAATTGTAAAAAAATAATATGAAAAGTAAAAAGAAAAAAATTTGGTGTAATTAATACAACAAGGGTATGAGTAAAAATTGATGTTTCTATTTTTATTATGTACAGGTCTGTTTTAAATGTGAATGTTTTGCTCAATATCTAAATTCAGTTTGAATGTTAAATGGGAATTAATCTGACTTAAGCCCTGGTTTTTATATTGTTGTCTTCTATGAGTATGTAGCTTTAAAATGCTTTCAAAACTAGCTGCCGGTTTTTGCCTAAACAATTTTTATTTAATTTACAGTTTAAAGAGTCCGTGGCAAAAAATATCTATTTAATGATATATAATGAAAGTCGTCAATATAAGAAAATATAAGCTGTTATATTTTTTGCATATAAACCTTCTCTGTATATCTGGAAAACGTTATAGCCCACTTTTGTCATCAAATAAGAAGTGGGCGGAAAGTGGCACGTCCATACAATGTAAAAGCAAAAATTCGCATAACTAAGAAATCATAACAGTTGGGGTTCCCAAATTTTGTAAGGAAAAGTCAGAAATTCGTATGAATATTTTGAAAAAGTGGGCGGACAAGAAGTAGTGGTCGTGGGACCACTCATGTCAATTAAAGATTAAATTTCAAATATTTGGGAAAATATAACAGCAAGTCAATACAAATATTTAGAAAAAATGGGAGGACCAAAAATAATGGGAGTGCCACCTCCCACATAAAGAAAAAAATAATTTTTTATAAATGAAAAACTAAAAGAAATAGAATCTTGAAAATAGTAACATTACTATAAGTACAAAATTTCCCGTTTTCCCGGGAATGATTAAAAAAAATTGCAAACTTTTCCCGAGAATTCCCGGACGGGATTTCCCGAACCCCAACTCTAATCATAGTGTAATGTTAAAATCATGCACCTAAACCAGGGGTCGGCAAACTACGGCTCGCGAGCCAAAGGCGGCTCTTTGGATGTGGAGCTCTGGCTCTTTAGTTTCATAAACACATTCTTATTTTATAAAAAAATATTTATATATTTTATAATCTTTCGGATTTGATTAACGAGCAGTGTTTGTTAAAATTAACAAAACAATTCGCAAACGTTTCTACAATATACACAACTTTTCATCTTTGTTTAATCGTTGTGTACGTAAGCAAAATAAAGCAAATTCTTTTTGGGCGAGAAAGAACGAAAACAAAACAATTAGTTTTCAGTCATTTCCTTGCTTTTATTTACCCTTGTGCCATTTGGAAATGGTACTGGATCTCTAGAAATGCATTTGATCAATTTAAAAAGTAAAGCTTGGGTTGTGGAAAATTGTCAAAGTTTAAAAGCCAGTTGATAGAGTTAGGTTTAAAGCCAACTAACAATTGAAAGTTTAGAGTCGTTTGTGAAACTTTAAACAACAAGTTGTGATCCAAACTTTGTAAAGCCATGCAAACCTATCTCTCCCACTGAATTTGTTCCATGTATAAGGGAGTATTGTAAGAAAATGTTTAATTCTTTAAATTTTTAATTGAAAAGTTTACTATAAACGAATGGGGCATCATGAGCGTTCCTACGGAGATAAGATGTAAATCCTGATCATACATTCCGAAATTTTCATGTTTTTCGAATTAAAACATATTTTTTGGAAATTGAAAGTATTGTAATTAATTAATTAATAATGTGGAGAGTTTGGATACAGTTAAATATTAAAAACTTGGTCTATTTGAAAACCTCAATATTTAAATATTGCATGTTTTAGAAACGTTTTACAGTGATATATAAAAAGATATAAAAATATTTTTATATTTTCGACATACATTTTTGACTATAAATAAGGGACCAGAAAGCGTATTATGGACCCATCCTTACAGAATTTGGTACAGATATTTTTGTTTCTATAAATTTGTTTATGACGAATTTCACAACTATGCTGGTATTATTAAGCCTGTTATGAGCGTTAAAGTCATTTTCTGAAGAAGAATTTATATGCGGGTATGGTCAACAATGAACTGATCATTAAAAAATTTTGGAGAGAGATTTTTCTTCCTATAATACTTGTTAGAGTCATTTTCCGAAGTAGACCTCATAAAAGGGGATTGGTCAATTATGTTCGGATCGTCTTAAAATTTGGTCGAGAAATTTTGTTCTTATAAAACTTGTTTGTGTCAAATTTCGTCGCTTACTGCTCTTATTAGAACACTTAAGAGCGATAGGGTAATTTTCTAGTGGTGATCTTATATAGTGGTAGGATCAATTATGAGTCGATAGTCACCAAATTTGGTAAAGAGATTTTTGATCTTGTTTGTGTTGAATTTCGTCATAATACAGCTATTATTAAGACAGTTATGAGCGTTAAAATCAAATTTGGAAGATACATAGATATTGGTTCTTATAAAAGTTGTTTATTTTGAATTTCGTTGAAATATTGGTACTGTTAAGTCAATTATGATCGTTAGTCATTTTCTGAAAAGGACCTTATATTGGGGTTGGTAAAATATGTTTCGATGTCCGCAATACATCACAATATAATTTCTGTATGCATAAAAAAAACTTTATCTTTATTGCCGCCAAATTAATATATTACTTTATGCTGTATTATCTGCGTCATCAATTTTCGTTATTTTTACATTTCCTGATATGCTTCGAAAAGCCTTTTAAATTATAGCACTGTCGCCCTACTCTAATAAACTTCTATATTTTTATATAACGAGTGTTTAAAAAATGCATTCGAATGACACATAAAAATTCAAAAAGTATTTGTAGTCAAAAATCTATAAGAAAGATTCCTTGCATAATGTCCTGTAGATAATTAAATCAAAAATTATGTTTTTGAAGTGAATTCATAAAGTATTTTGTCATATGAAATCCAAAAAGTCCTAAGTTACATTGAACAAATTTTTTAGGAGAAGCAAAAAACCGTTTTGCTTACGGAGATATGAAACTTATGCCCTTGAAAATTTGTTTTTTTCTGAAACCCAAAAGGGCGTAAATTACATTAAAAATAGTAAGTTTTAACATTTTCAACTAAATTCAAATCAGGTTTTGTTGGCCAAATAGGCCGAAAAAATCATAAGTTTTCATTAAGATTTTCGGAAATTAAAATTTTTCTTTTGAAAAAATTCTAAAACTGTTAAAATAATCTTTATATTACAAGGATTCGCTAAAAGTGCCATTTTTGTTTTATTTGACTTATAACATTTCACAGTTTCGAAGTTTAAAATTTAAAAGAATTTTAAAATTTTCATGAATTTTAAGGTAATTTTAGAACATAACCTTTTAGAATTTCTTTGATAGGGACGATGATTTTAATTGTGGGAGTGTAAAATTTAGTAGGAACATGTATTTTGATACGGTGCGTCATAATCAATCAAAAAGTCGATTTTGATTTTTTTATAACTTTGGATTTCATATGATGATTTGTAAAGTTTTAATAAACAAAAATTTTGTGGCTCTTTTAAAACATATGTTTTGTAAACTGTAAATTTTGGCTCATCCAACTCAAAAGTTTGCCGACCCCTGACCTAAACCACTCCGTTATCACTTGCACCACTGATTAATATATGTATGTACATCTTTGTAACTTTTGTATGGGTATACACATACATATGTTATCTAAGACTTTGCTCATAGAGAAATGGGATTCTAAAGTTCCACTTTTAAAATTGATTTTTTTTTTAATATTTTTCTTAAAGGTTCAGAGCGCTACTACTTAATATAACCAAAAAGTAAATAAAAACAAAATAATGGAAAGCACCATTATTTTGTTTTTGGTACGATGTTGTCGTGGGACTATGCTTTCATTAATATCTGTGGTATGAATTTTGAAAGCTAACTTTTGCGGTCCCGAAGATTTTAGTTTTGTTTTTAATTACATTCTTCAAGAATGATATCTTTTATTTTTAATCTTTTTGTATTATTTTATTTTTTTATAACTTTTGGCTTTTCCTTATATTTAATTCTGCATATTTGCCTATGTTTGGCAAATTGGAAAAATGATTTTGTACATTTTATGTACTCATCCTCGCCCAATCCAATAGAAATGGCAGCATCTACCAAATTAAAAAAATAATAAATGATAACTATATATACATACATAACTATGTATTTAATTTTTTACTTCTTATGATTTTTGATGTACTCAGGCTCCGAACACTCTTTTTATCCTCTGTTCCTGTCCAGCATAGCTTTTCCGCTAGTTCGTCTACTAATAATTTCCGCCAACAGTTTTTGGTAAAGTTAGGAGACTTTGCTACCGTTAGCAGCTCTTTTCCCTGCGAAAACCACAAAAATTATTATTATCATAATAAACAAATAAGGATAAGGCTTTTTTTTAATTTAACCTACAAAAGAATCCGAAAAGTTTTTGTCACATTGTAATTGTTTTTCAAAATTTAAAAAATCGTCCATTACTTTAAAAGGATGATCAGGCATCACTAACTTAGTTGAAGATTTCCCCTTCTTTAGTTCGTCCCTTAAGCAAATTACCTCTTGGCGCAATGAAGCCACCTCTTTTGTAAGTCTCATGAACATGGGTTCAATTGTTTTTGAAAATTTTGCTACCACATCTAAAAATGCAATTACATAGATACATATATCGTTCATTTACTACAATACTAGCATAAATCAGACGAGAATCGACATTTTAAACAAGTGTCGATACGACACTCATAAAATATCATCTAATATTTACCTTCAAGTGCTTCTTTCTGTACATGCGTTACATTTGCATCCTCGGAAAGCGAATTATTAATTACTGTATGTATTGGAGTTAAATTGTCTGAGTTTTGTAATATGTTAGTGCAATTTATATTAGAGTCTCCCGTCATATTCGATAACTGGAAAAAATACAAATTTATTTAATTTATTGCTTAATCTATGTTGTATGTTTATGATAGTATTTATCACTCAGTTAAAACCTTTCTCTTAAGGGAGGCTTATATGTCGGAATGGGTCAATTATAAAGCAATTCTCATTATATTTGATGGAGCAATTTAGGTTGCTATACAACTTGTTTGTGACGAATTTCATTGCTAGATATTTTAAGTCAGGAATGAGCGTTAGAGTAATTTTTTTGAAGGGAACCTTATATGGAAGGCAGGGACACTTCTGGACCAATTGTCACAAAATTTGGTCGATAGATTTTGGTTTCTATAAGAGTTGTTTTACATACCATAACCATTACATGATAAATCAAAAAAAAAAAAAAAAAAACGCGTGTCTTCCAGTTTTGCCCAAAGTCATTCACAAAGATTTTAAGCCTCGGTGTCAATTTTGCAAAAAAAAGTGAACATTTTCTCAGGCTCATATCTTGCAAACCGTTTGGAATTTTGATTTACACTCCGAGGTAAAGTTGTAGCACATGTCATAAAGAACAAAAACTGTGAACATATAAAATCAAAAAACTTCATCTTTAAAATAAAAAATTTTAAAAATTTCGATTTTTTAAGCGTTAAAAATATTTCAAGTGCTTCTCTATTTTAGGCGTATACTTAATATTTGTAATATCAATAAATCGTTAACACGTATACGTAAAGGTATCATTAATAAGAGCAGTGCACAGTGGGGCAGAAATGAAATTTTTTGGAAATAAATCTGGCATTTCTAAACGGCTGATCCGATCGGGATAAAATTTGGCGTGAGCGTAGCCAAGGAGTATTCGAGTTTAAGTTTTGAAGATGAACCCTGCAGATGCCCCAGGGACGGCGCTGTGGCGGCTCAAAGTAGGGTACCTACGACATGTAAAATTTTTAAACTCGTGCCATTTTTTTGTTTTTCATCCAAATACAAATATATTTTCTGAAAGCGGTCGACGAGATCTTGAAAAAACATGCTTGGACATACTACTTATCTCTTATAATATCCAAGTTATAGGCATTTAAAAATTTAGTGATACAAAATTTACCATACCAAAAAATTTCAGATCAATATCATTTACATATCCAAAAATATACGTTTTTTAATTTAAAAATTCTAAAAATTTTAGATTTTTGCCATTTTTTTGCCAAAAATGTGTCTTAACTCTTTTACTAATAAAATAAAATTTTCTTTAAGAACATATAACAATTTTATAGTTTTCTAAAAGGTATCTTTACGCAGAACGCTTTGGCGTAAAAAACTTGTCCTATTTTTTGAAAATGTTGCCACTGCGTCCTTCCGAATATGACCTATTTTTTATCAAAACTTCAACTTTGGGCGACATGTTCTAAAATCCCAAAGCTGGGATCAGAAAACTGAAAGCAGTTTTGGAAACCTCAATATGTTTTCTATTTACTCCAAAAGTATTTTTCCAGCCCTGAAAGAAATGTGGACCCTATGGGCAAAAAAGTAAAAAATCCCATTTTTGGGATTTTCATTCCTATTTTTGAGAATTGCGGGATGCCCTTTGAACTTTTAAATTTTTTTTTTTGAAAATTTGAAATTTCATTGAGTTTTGTTCATAAATAAAGATTTTGTCATATATTACATATTTGTTAAATTTCTAAAACTATGATTTATATCAAAATTTTAATAGGGTCGCAGATAGCTACAACAATTTAGTCCATATTTATCCCTTAATATCTTTTTTTAGTTAGATATGGAAATTCTCGATTCTTTACAAAAATTTTCAAGCCAATATCTCAATTACATTAAAAAATATGTTCATTTAAACCTGTATCCTTTAATTTCATATTTTTCATATTTTAGTATTAAATATGACAGAACATATTTAAATCTTATATTTACCTATTTTCTATTTGTTTGCTTATCCTTATAATTGAAAGGTCCTATTATGCTTAAACTTTCAGACATTTATAACTATTTTTTACCTAAATTTTTTCGACAGATCATTTCGTTCTGTTTCGTTTATGATCATCTAGATAAAAGTTTACAGGTAATGATAATTTCGATTCATTCACTAATAAGAAATATCAATGACTGAATTACAGGTTATAGTAATATAGTCGTAAATGTTAATAGGTAGACAATTCGTAATTTTTTACTTTGGAATACCTGTATCGGAAATGACAAGAATTGGTATATAAGTAAACTTCTCAGATTTTAAGTACCATATTTAATAAATCTACAATGAAGATTACATTAAAGTACGAAGAGTTGTGTTCCGTTTTATGGAGTGTATCTTCAAAAGGGCCAGAAAGAATTGAAGACATTTCAAATTATATAAAAACTACTTATAGTAGAAAAGTAGACAAAACAGGCATATCAAAAATTTAAAACTTTTTGATGTAAAAAGTAAGTCTGTGGATGGAAATCAAAAGAAATTTCGATTAAAATTTTGTAGTTGGATGAAAACTGCTACGGAAATCTCAACTTACAACACATCAACAGGAGCGCCTTGCAAGTCATACGAAGACTTATTTTCAAGGTCAAAAAAAAGGGGGTCACACAAAAACTTTTTTCAATCTCAAATGAGGAAATTGCTGATACATTTAACGAAATGCTGAAAAAGGAAAACCAACCTATGGATGCCGTACATATTGCAACTATTCTTCCTAATGCATCACCAAAACGACTTAAGCGAATTGTGGAAAGTATACTCCAACATCACAATCAAATTTTACTGAAGAGGAAGCAATAGCGCTTATGTTGGAACTGGGTCTCAGTCGAAATAAGTACCAAATATTAAGGAAAGCTCTGCATAAAAAAGGACACAATATATTACCATCATACAAGGCGATCCAGGAAAAAAAAGCAAACTATCCTACCATCACCTATTGCTGTTAATGATGTGGAAGCTTGTATTGATATATCATCTTTGCTCGAAAACACAGCATCAAGAATTGTGTCAGACTTTTCAGAAGACCAACTAAGGAAAATTCATAACTGTGATGTTGTCTTAATGTGTAAGTGGGGATGTGGCGGTTTATCAGCACTTCCAGAATACAAACAAGCTTGTGGAAGTCGGACATTAGCAGACTACAAAAGTGTATTTATGTCATCATTAGTGCCATTACGAATTCGTTCATATTCCCTTAATCCATCATCGTCAAGCATCGGAAATTCATTTGAAGATATATGGATCAATACAACTCCGGGTTCAAAAAATTTTTGTAGACCCATTGGATTTGAATATATAAAGGAGTCAAAGAAAACAACAAAATATTTAGTGGAATATTTAAAAGATGAGCCCATTTGCATAAAAATAAAGGAATATTAACGTATCATATCAGCTAAGCTTAACAATGATTGATGGAAAGGTCAGCAATGCCATAACAGAAACTTCTTCCTTCTGGAGATGCTCAATATGTAATGAGAAAAAGTCGCAATTCTCAAATATAAACAAAAGCAGAAGTATTAATGAAGAAGTCCTGTCTTTCGGAATTTCACCACTTCATGCCAGAATACGATTTTTGGATTACTTTTTACACATAGCATAATAATAATTGAATCGAATATTCTTCCACTTGGAGAGTTAACAGAAGAAGCCCAGGAAGCGAGGAATCGAGATTTTAAGCATGTTCAACTATTCAGCTCAAGAAAATGCTCCAGGCAATCACAGAATGAATATATTTTTAATAGTTTACTTCTATCTTCTGAGAAGATGAAACTCTATCATCTCAAAACAAGGAAGATTTAAAGGACTTATATTACCTTCTGGATATGTATACCGATATGACAGATTATTTTATAGAAAATAAGTAGTGTTAGGAATTAACTTGTAAGAATTAATTGTATTATGTTTAAGATAAACAGTTCAAATAAAAAAGCTATTATACTAACTGATGATATTGTATTAAATTGTGTTTTATATTTCGGTGGGCGGGAAAGGTAGTTTGTGTGGGGTGATTTAGGTGTTGTTGTGCGTGGCTCATAATAAAATTATAATTTTTTTATTGTATATACAATGTTATAGTCTTTAATAAAATAATTAACTAAATAATTTTTAAAAATTGTCCACATACTTTATTCAACACCAAATGTATGTTCTGTCATACTTAATACTAAAATATGAAAAAGATGAAATTAAAGGACACAGGTTTAAATGAACATATTTTTGAATGTAGTTGAGATATTGGCTTGAAATTTTTTGTAAAGGGTCGAGAATTTCCATATCTAACTAAAAAATGATATTAAGGGATAAATATGGACTAAATTGTTGTAGCTATCTGCGACCCTATTAAAATTTTGATATAAATCATAGTTTTAGAAATTAAACAAATATGTAATATATGACAAAGTCTTTATTTATGAACAAAACTCAATGAAATTTTCAACGCTTGTTAAATTTGTCATTTCAAATAAGAAAATGCAAAAAAAAGGGCATCCCGCAATTCCCAAAAATAGGAATGAAAATCCCAAAAATGGGATTTTTTACTTTTTTGCCCATAGGGTCCACATTTCTTTCAGGGCTGGGAAAATACTTTTGGAGTAAATAGAAAACATATTGAGGTTTCCAAAACTACTTTCAGTTTTCTGATCCCAGCTTTGGGATTTTAGAACATGTCGCCCAAAGTTGAAGTTTTGATAAAAAATAGGTCATATTCGGAAGGACGCAGTGGCAACATTTTCAAAAAATAGGACAAGTTTTTTACGCCAAAGCGTTCTGCGTAAAGATACCTTTTAGAAAACTATAAAATTGTTATATGTTCTTAAAGAAAATTTTATTTTATTAGTAAAAGAGTTAAGACACATTTTTGGCAAAAAAAAAAACGGCAAAAATCTAAAATTTTTTGAATTTTTAAATTAAAAAACGTATATTTTTGGATCTGTAAATGATATTGATCTGAAATTTTTGTATATTATTGAAAATTTTGTTGTCTAACTAACAAGAAACCATTTTGTCCATTTGGTCCAAAATTACGCCCGGTATTCAAAAAAAGGAGGACCAAGGTATGGT